GTTTTATGAATTGTCAAATTAAAAATGAAATTTTTGGTCTTGGTTTTTGGGATGTTACATCTATCGTTGAGGTGTTCATGGGTATAAAGGAGGGTCAGTTCGTGCCTTAAGCAAGATGGACAGGAGTTTCAGAGTGAATTTCTTTGTTTTAGGAAGAGGATCATTGGGGCCCGAGGCGGATTTGGGCTTGTGTAGCTCTAGTATGGGTGGGACCCGAGGGCGAGGCCCGTGTGTTCATGGCAATGCAGGTGGAACCTGATAGAGACCATTGGGTCGGGGTATTGGATTTTGGTTTAGTAAGAACGATTATGTGGTTAGTGAGTGGCGCAGAGGGATACTTGCGCTAGGGTAGCCTTGTCTATTGGACTCTTAGGAACTTGGTGGTTGGACTAGGGTGTGAGGCTGGCAGTCTCAGCAGTGCTGAAGGATCCTATATCTAGGTTTAGCAATGGGTTGCCATGAATCAAAAGATTTCGGATGAAATTTAGGTGTAAGTCCTTGGATCTCCGGTTGCGAGTTAGGTACCGAGTTAGTTTTTGGTGGAAACTCGCATTGAGAATCACGAGTGTTTATGTGCAAGGTCTTCATTTCAGTAGGATATTAAATAAGGTATCTAAATGCCAAGGGCATCAGTTGTAGGGTTCAGCGTTAAAGGTTGTTTTCTGTTTTGAAGGAAGATCAGGCTCTTGTGATTATGTTTTGGATTGTTCTATCTGTGTGGAGGTCAGGCAAGTGTGGGATTTCGGGATTTTAGCAAAGGTATGTTGGTTCAATAGTTAAAGGAAGCAGTTTCTTGTTCAACACTAGAAGGTTTATCTCCCAGTTTGTATCGTGTTGTTCATTATATTCATAGAATTGTCAGCATCAGGATGAGCCCTTCCTCGAAGGAACATCTAATCCCTTTGGGCACGTGAAAAGTTTTTGGCAGCAACGTATGGTCTGTGATTATGTTTCTAGTAATAAAATTTTGAGTAGTCAGTTTAGGAGACAAGTGGAATGGAATTATCAATGGTTTAGTATGGGCGGTCTGTCAGGGAGTCGGACCAATTCGAGACTTCAAATTTCAAGTTGAGTAGATGTGGTTATTCTGCATGGGATTATTTTAGTCTGAGAAAGGATTCGTTCATCTTCGGGTTTGGAGAGCCCTGTTATAGTTGGTTCCGGTTGCCTTTGGGAAGGTTGTTGTATGCTCGGGGTTACGTTCGTGTTGCTCAGGATGTGTGGCGTGCCTGGGATGGTAATGAATGATTTGAGGGGACGAAATCAAATTTAAGTGGAGGAGAGTTGTAACTCCTTGTTCCAAATCGTTTCTTAATACGGGGCGAGAACCCGAAGATCAAGTATTATAAGGCCTAGGGCCTTTGAGGAAAAGATATTAGACCCATTTGGAGGTGGGTAATGTGATTTAGATGATCTAGGAGTTCGGTTGGTGTTTTAGAGCCAAGGGGTATTTTGGTAAAGATTCAGATCGGGCTTTTATGGAAATTGGATTTTTGTTCGGGAAATTATAAGGCGAGTATGAGTTGAAAGAAGTGTAGAGCTTCTCGTTACCTCTTCGTGGATATAAGGATCGTCGGAAATGAACTTATAACGAAGAAGTTATGGCCTTCGGAAGGTCGCAAGGTTTGAGGATAACCCTAGTACGCTGGGCGTACTGGTGCTAAGGTCAATACGCGGGGCATACCTCGGTATACGTTGGGCGTACGAAGAAGAAGGATCACAACTTTTAGAGGAGTACGCTAAGCGTAATGGGAGTACGCGGGGCGTACTCCAGATTCATGCAAACCCTATTTTAGGGCCACGAACCCTATTTAAGTTCCTTTTATCTTCACCAAACCTTAATACCTTCAACCTCCATCCCTTTTTAACCCTAGAATCGAACCCTAAGTGCAATTTGGTGATTTTGAGCTTGGTATGTGCTTGATGGGTGTTTTGTGAAGAAGAAGAAGAAGAAGAAGAAGAGAATCATTTGGAGGTGTGGCTTGAGCTTCTAGATCCAAGAGTATCTTTCCATGTGCAAGCTTCCTAAGGTAAAAAGATTTAACCTTGATGATCTTTTTGGTTGGATCTACTTTATGGATTTCTTTGGCATTTTTGAGTCCCTTGATGTAAAGGTGAGCTTTTGATCCACTCCAGAAGTAGTGGATGTTAGATCCAAGCTCCAATAAGGTCCCTTGTTCATAAAAATGGAAACTTTGTGAAAGATTTTGGTCCATGCATGTATTAAGCTCTTATTAAGTTCCTTTTTAAGTGTTGAGTCCTATTAAGACGTGTTTGTAAGTAAAGTTGGAAACTTTATTGGTTAAGACCTTGGCTAGGGACCAGATCTATGTTTTGGGACATCTTAACTTAACCCATTAAGAGCAAATGTGGATTTTTGGATTCCAGACTAGTATGTTAGGCATACGAGGAGGTACGCTCATCGTAAAGCGAGGATCGTGCATCACGTAGTTGTACTTTATGCATCATGGTTAATTACGCAGGGTGTACGTCTCGAGCACGCTGGGCGTACTCCCCAGAGGGTCGTTTTGGGCTTTTGAGGTTTGGGCCATTGTTGGGTTTTCTTAGCTTGGGCCTTGTTGGGCCATTAGACTTCTTTTTGGGCTTCTGATTTGTACCTTTTGGGCTCCATTGTATTTTAGGCCCGTAAAGGGTTTGGGGGACCAATTTGGAAAATTGGGCCATAGTTGGGCCTTGGGTGATTATGTTGGAATTTAGGCCTTTGGACATTTGGGATTGGGCCTTAGGCCAAGTATAGGGAAGGGTAAAAATGTATTTTACCCTAGTTTGGACTCGTAGGTTGAGTCAGGATCCAATTATTGATTGGATAAATATATTATGATTGATAGCGCGGGGATTTTAGCGAGCCAGTAGCCAGAGATTCTTTTTGTGAGATTCGACAGTGTGAGGTGAGTCTTCTCACCATATCCATGGGTTAAAGGCACTAATTTCGGCCCATTACTTGTTATGTAGAATGCTAGTTGTATTTGTGATACTTGATTGGAAGACCATGGGGGTAGCCCGTGGCATATGTATGGAAAACCATGAGGGTAGCCCATGACACTTGGACGTTAGACCATGGGGGCAACCCATGACATTTCAAGGAAAGACCATGGGGGTAGCCCATGGCACTTGGATTTCAGCCCATGGGGGTAGCCCATGGCATTTCAGGGAAAATACCGCAAAGGTAGTGTTGGATTAGGTGTCTAAGCCCATAACTATAATTGGTATGTACTTGATCCGAGAGTAGCATGGTCAATTTGGGTTGCATATCACCACGACAATTTGATAGGATGGACTTTTGAGAAGAGTTTATTTATGATTTATTAATATATTATAAGTTCTAATATATTAATATGAAATCATATGATTTAATTAGTATTAATCAAGAATTAATTTGGAATTAATTTTGTGATCAAAAGAGACTAATTAAATTAATAGGTACTAATTATGTACATTAGTTATATATATATATATATATATATATATATATATATATATATATATATATATATGGTTTAGGCTTATGATACATGATGGACTAAGTTTATGGATGAATCCATAAAGAGTTAGCCCACTTGAATCATGGATCATGGATAATAAGCCCAAGTGTATGGATTAGGGTTTACCCATGACTCTTGGATCCCTACACTATATATATATATATATATGACACACTATAGCCTAAATAAGGTTGCACAAGTTTTTCTAGAGTGTTCTTGGAGAGCCATAACCGATTTTAGTGTGCATAAACTCTCTCAAAAGTCATCCTTTGTCTAAGGTGTGTTGTGAACCATTTGAGGTGCAACATTTGGGGCACTAAGTTCTTAAAGGCCAAATACAACAAGTTCTACAGGCTACATAAATAGGTAAACTCCTAACTAGTATTTTATGTTGTTTATTTTAATTGCATGCTAGTTGTAGGCTTAATGCTTTAGAAACAATATTGCATGTATAATTAGAGAAAACATAGATCCAAAGCATTTAGGGTTGTATGTGCACCATAGGATGATGTAGTATAAAAAAACCCAACAGATAGCCCATGAGAAATGCATGTATAGTATATGGTATTTTGGGGAACTCACTAAGCTTTGTGCTTACAGTTTTTAGTTTATGTTTCAGGTACTTCTGTTTTCAAAGGGAAGAGCCTGGTATGTATGCAGAGCACACACCACCTCGTTCCACATTTTATTGATTTACTCTGATGTGATATGATGATGGATACATTTGTTTTATCTGGATTTTTATGATGATGTTTTGGGATACTGGTTTTATTAATTTAAAAATAAAATTTTTGGGTCTTATTTTTTTGGGACGTTACAAGAGCCACCATGACAAGTACTTCTTAGTCGAGAGCGACGATGAAAGTGTGCTACAAGATCGAAATGAAACAACAAAGAAAGGCATTTGGATGGTTGAGTTTGTTGAAGGCTTCGACAATGTCCTCCGATTGAAGTCCAGTTATGCTAAGTATCTCACTGCATCTGAAGTTGAATTAATCATTGGTTTCACTGGCCTGAAAGTCGTTCAAAGTATGCCCCAAATGCTGGACTCCTCAATCGAATGGGAACTGATACGAGATAGGTTTCAAGTTCGTCTCAAAGCTCGTTACGAAAATTATCTACGAGCCAATGCTAGGTTGCCTCCATGGAGAAGTTCGTTTACTCATGACATTCCTTACAGGCACCACGATTGGATATTATGGGATGTTGAATTTGTGGAAGCTAAACCAGAGGAACCATCGCCGTCATCGCCCTTATCCGAAACGATAAACCCAAATCTAAATTCGTCGTCATTTTCTCTTAGAAGCTCCATATATGGCCCTACTGAGGTTCGTTCATATCATCATTCATTGCTACATATTTGGATTTGTGATTTTGTCTCACTTGTTGTGATGCACACCATGTGTTTGTGGAAATATAGGGAAATGATCCACCGATGCAAAGAAGGAATGGAGGATGGTGTATTACACGGTGGTGGATGATGATGGGAACATTGATAATGCTTATTAAGAAACATCGTTTGCATTCAAGGGGCATGGATTGGAGGATTTGACTCTGATTTGGAAGAACAAACATGGATGGATGATATAATCGTGTGCTCTAGGAATCCATTGAATGGCAAGCTTTTTCCATTCCGGTTAGCGTTGCCACCCAAACAACTCCGATTGTAGCTTGGCTACAACAACAATGGCGGGTTCCAACACCGCTTCAAGAAACACAACAACAACCACAGTGTGCGGCGGAGATAGATGAAGACAGGGAAGAAAAAGGTGGTGGGTACGAGATTGTTGCCAACAAGATATCTTCAGTGGCCACTGTCTAGAGAGAGAAAAATGAAGAGAGAGAGAGAGAGAGAGAGAGAGAGAGAGAGAGAGAGAGATGAGGTAGATTATTTACGTTACATTTGCAAACTGATGATTAGGATTGGGTCACCTGGTAATCCCTTAAAATTTTCCAAAAGAACCTTTTAAAACCTAAAAATACAAGTTCATGCCCTTCAAATGCAAAAAAAAAAAATAATCATGAAGAGCCATTTAAACCAATATAGTAAAGTTTGTATAAAAGCTAATGTTGTATGAATTGAGAAAAAGAAAATAGAAAGCTGAAGCATAAATAAACATTTAAGCATAAAATTAAGGGAAAATGACTTGCGAGTGTAATTACCTTTTCGTCTTGTTCACGTTTAGGTAACTTTATTTTTTTTATACACATCTGACCATTTAACTTGTTAAATGTGTTCACATATTATCATTGTCACCTGCTATGGGATGTGACAATGGTAATATGTGAACACATTTAACAAGTTAAATGGTCAAATATGTACAAAAAAAAGAAAGTTGTCTAAATGTGAACAATTTTTTTTTTATAAATTTCTTAAGAATTTTAATAATTTCTTACAACAATTTTATGATATTTCTTCCTATAAGTTTTTCTAATACAATGTTATAAACTTTACTTATAAATTTTTTTATACTTTCATATAATTTTAATACAAGTCCTTTAAACAAAATATTTTTATAAATGTTTTAAAATTTTCTTACAAGTTTTTAACTTTTTTTTATATATATTTTTTCATACAATTTTTTTTATAACTTTCAGACATTTTTTCTAAACTTTCTTTTACAATATTTTTAAAGTGTTTCACAGATTTTGTAGGAAAATTTAATATTTTTTTATAACATTTTAAAATACTCATGTTAAATACTAAGTTAAAACGTTGTATTAAAAAAAAATAAAAGTTTATAAACTTCTAATTAAAAATTATTAAAAAGTTGGAATAATTTTAAAACATTTCCATTATATAGATTTTTTTGTTTTTTAATTTGCTAAGTAATATTTTCTTTTTATTTTTTTAAAAGACCCTCCATACTTATTGTTACATATTTAATTTATTTAATTTTATTGTTAGATATTATTATTACTTAAAAAATACTGTATATGCTAAAAAACAAAAGAAAAAAAATTATAAGATGCTATATAAAATATTTCACAAAACAAAAATATATTTATTAATTAAAAAAAAAAGTTTAAAATTGATCAATATTTAGAAAATTATTGATATTTTAAAAATAATATTTGAAAAAAATAATACAAATAAATATAAAATATAAAATGGCTATTAAAAGTGGGAAAATGACTTATCAAGCTAATAAATTTTTCATTTTGTTCACATTTAGATAACTTACTTTTTTTGTATACATTTAACCATTTAACTTGTTAATGTGTTCACATATTACCATTGTCACATGTTATAGCCGGTGACAACGACAATATATGAACACATATAACAAGTTAAATGGTCAAATTTGTATAAAAATAAAGAAGTTACCTAAATATAAACAAAACGATAAAAATATAACATGTTTCCCTAAAATTAATGAAAAAATCTAAATACTTTTAAATAGTTTCATAGATGGTGTTACATTAGCCTAATTAAATTATAATTCCATGAAAGTATTTAGATAATTTTTCATTAATTATATGGTTAAATATTTATTTATGCTTGTGCGTTCTATTTTTTCAGCTTTGTGACCTCCTATCCTCTCTTCTTCGTTTACCGTCGACTTTACTTTCACCAAATCCGACTCAATACCCCCCCCCCCCCCCCCCCCCCCCCCCCTCTCTCTCCACATAAAATTACATAAGCAACGCTGTTTCCCAAAGAAAAAACTCAGAGACACAGAAGAAAAAATCAAACTCTTTGTTTCACACACACACTTATCAAGAAACTATGAACATGGATACTTCTCAATCTCATCAGAATCTAAACAACAACTGGCTTGCCTTCTCTCTTTCCAACACCAATAGTCTCTTCCAACAGCCACACGCCACCGCCTTCCACCATCATCGTACTCCCTTTTCTCATTCTCTCTAGAACTTCACAGCCACATCATCGAATGAACAAAAAAGATAATATCTAATCTTGTTGTTTAATCTGTTGCAGATGAAGGCGATGCCAACGGAACAACCACCCATCATGACTTGTCTGTTCTCACCGACGGTAGCCCAAAACTGGAAGACTTCCTCGGCGGCTGTGGCTCCGCCGCCTCTAATGGATCTGGTCCCGACGTTTGTCATTTCCAAGATGAATCACAAACCTCTATGCAGCCTCATGACACGACATCGATTTATGACTCGGAGTTAAAGACTATCGCCACTAGCTTCCTCCGTGATTTCTCCACCGACAACCATCAGCAGCAGCTGGCGGTGGTTCCTACACCACTGAAGCAGGATAACTCTCCTGCGAAAAAAGCCATCGATACCTTCGGCCAACGAACTTCCATTTACCGTGGCGTTACAAGGTTGAATCTTTATAAAAAAATTAATTATTTTGTTTGCAAAACGATTTTATTTTTTTTTCATAAAGATTAAATCTTGGCCTAAAATGTTGAAGGCATAGATGGACGGGGAGATATGAAGCTCATTTATGGGATAATAGTTGCAGAAGAGAAGGCCAAAGTAGGAAAGGAAGACAAGGTAAAGAAAGATACATGACTAACGATGGTATCTAACATGCGCAAACTACACCGACTAACATACACCGTTATACATACCAAAGATCTGAGTCATCCCGATCAGTTTATTTCATTTATAAAAATAAGGTTCTTATCCCTAGAAAAAGAACCAAACGATCAACGGCTCAGATTTTCTGGTTTCCGTAAAACTACTGGCGCTTGCTATTGTAGATAACTACTGTATGGCGGTTTATGCTATCGTGCGCATTTTCATATTGTCTGTTCAAGAATCTTAACCTTAATCATTCTGTCTCTTTGATTTTGTTGCATGTACTGATTGATGGATGAATCTTCAGTTTACTTGGGTGAGTTTTCCTTTTTCATGTTTTACTCATTATGACTTTGTTCTTCGATCATTACTGCATGCAAGTTGAATTATAGACTAATCTTTTTGATTATTTTTATTGATCAATCTTATTTAATTATATCAAGTTTCCTAAATGGTCTAAACTTTCTAATTACATTGTCACGTGAGTCTCTTCATTTCGGATGTCGTATAGTTTAAGATGAACGTGTTGTATGTTACTAGTTTCTGATTATATTTGTTTATGTGCTTCACTAATTAGGTGGATATGATAAGGAAGACAAAGCAGCTAGAGCTTATGATCTTGCAGCCCTCAAATACTGGGGTCCGACCACCACAACAAATTTTCCGGTAAGAAATAATATAACCTAAAATAGGGTTTTTATTTTGATCTTAAAAAAGAATTTAAACCTTTATATTTATTTTCTCTGTATACCTTATGGATTATTTAGGTTTGCAACTATGAGAAAGAGCTTGAAGACATGAAAAACATGACTAGGCAAGAATTTGTTGCTTCACTTAGAAGGTAATTAGTTAATTAATTTAGCATTTTATACACCGTTATTTAAAAATATTAAGTCATTTGGAGTGGGGTTCCGTGCCTTAAAGTGTTTTTATGATCACACACTTTTAATTATGGGTAATTAGTCTCTTATAATTCTTGATAAATTTTGCAGGAAAAGCAGTGGCTTTTCTAGAGGAGCCTCTATTTATAGAGGTGTCACAAGGTAAACTTATTTGCTATTATACTTTTTAACTCACATATTGACATTTTAATTTTAGATGGGAAAATCAAGAAAATAAAAGAACTACAAAAAAGAGATCCTTTAAGAGAAAGATCTAATCAAGACCTTTAAAATAAATATAATATTTTATAATGTATTTTTAAACTTAATGTATATATAGGCTATTAGTCAGTTATATAACTATTTATTTTAAAATGGAAAGAACATAAATATAAGATATTAGATATTAGATGCATAAATGTAAAAGCAAAATAAATTAACAACACTAATATTTAAAAATAAAATCTATCTCATACTACTTTAAACATAAAGCAAACTCGAAATTCCAACCCAAGCTATAAAGTTAGATATAAAAACATACCTTTTGTCCTTAATTTGTTATCACAATAATATCAAATAAATGTGTTAATTATTATTATTAACATATTTATTTGATATTATTGTTATAATTATTATTAACATGGCATTATTACGGGTTTAATCGAGCAACACCTGAATAATTTTCCGTTCCAACTTTTTTTGAAACACAGGCACCATCAACACGGACGTTGGCAAGCAAGAATAGGAAGAGTAGCCGGTAACAAAGATCTCTATCTTGGAACCTTTGGTGAGTCCCTCTTCTTCTAACTAACCAACATGCAACCATTGATTGAAAAAAAATATATATATTATCAATGAGAGCGGTTCAAACATGCATGTGCACCATCTTTTTTGCTACAAGGACACTGTAGATTAATATTGGTTGTGAGACTGGATGCATGTGCACCATCTTTTTTGCTACAGTGACTCTATAGATTAATGTTGGTTGTGAGACTGGTTGACTGAGTGTCATATTTTTCTAGGCACACAAGAGGAAGCGGCGGAAGCCTATGACATTGCCGCCATCAAGTTCCGTGGATTAAACGCGGTCACAAATTTCGACATGAGCCGGTATGATGTAAACAGTATTGCCAACAAAAACCTCCCAATTGGAGGCATGAGTAGCAAATCCAAGACTTCAATCGATCAATCTCATGCTGATGAACCAACAAACACTAATATTGTTAGCTTTGCGATGCCAATGAAACAAGATCTATCAACAGATTATTGGAGTTCGGTCTTAGGGTACAACCAAAACCAAGGCATGACATCATACCAAGGTACAACACCATACAGCATGGAATACCCGTCTAGTACAAGTACTACAACCAACAATGGGTTTTACCATGGAGGAGGGTTTATTCAACAAGAGAACAATAATGGTACTGTAGTTGCTTTA